ATCCCCACTGGCAAGCAGAGTCTTTTTTGAGACATCAAGTTTTACCCATGCAATAATTTTTTATTGGTTCTTTGATTTTTCTATTTCCTCATTCACATAGTTGCTGTGCATCTGAGTGCTGACACTGATATATGCTGTGGCCAGAGATGAAGCAGAGTGGCATGGGCCCTGTTTGCTCTGAGAGGGGCAAGAAGCCATGAAACCAGATTTCCTAGTCCCCAGGATCATCACATTCCTCCCAAAGTCCAACAGCAGCTTTATAGTACACTAAAACTATGACATTCTGACCATGTCCAGCATTTTCACCATAAACATCTTTGCCGTAGACACCTTGGCCTACAAGCATTTTTGCCACATAACTAATGGTTGTAAGGCAATTTTGCTGTAAAAAAAAAAAAGGAATAACAAAATTAAGGAGACTTTATTTAAAATGTATGCAGCTTCGTGGCAAAACTACTCAAATAACTAATTTTATTTTGTGGATTGTATCTGAGCGCATTTCTTGTTCTGTGAGAAATGTGGGCTTAACTAAATCTGCACCCTCAAAGAGGGCCTTTGACCTCTCCTTCTCTTCCAAGATTGTGTGTTTCCAAAATGAAAAACCAACTCTTGGGACAATTCATCGCCACTTGGAAGAAATTATAACTATTTTAAGACCACCACCACCATACCTACTTGCCACATTACGGACCATTGGAAGAGCTAGCTAATATTTATATGTGTAAAAATGGGAGTAGGTGCAAGAACTTCCTTAACGGGAAATGAAACAAAACTGGCAACTAGCTTAAATATATTAAATATGCCAAACTTGGTTGATTGATTACTCAATGGAAAAATGAAACCAACTAACCAAAAAACACCCCAAACTTTGAGCTGTTTTATGGCAAAATTAACTTATGGCCAATTAATTGTGCCGTGAAAATGTTTGTGGCAAAGATAGCTGTGGAAAAGATGATGCAGAATAAATACCTAGAACAGATTCAGAAACAAAGCATGTTTCTTACATCATAATTACTTATAATAAAGGGCATAATTAGTACATTATTTATCATGGACTATAATGCTAAGGAATCAATTCTATATACAGAAGGTCCTCAAATAATGTTGTTTTATTCAACATTGTTCAGTTATAATGTTGATGAGATGGTATTAACTCTTATTTATACCAATCAGCCTATGGTAAAATTGGTGTTATATGTCCTTTTGCTTAAAGTTTGCATAATTTCACAAAAACTGTTAAGTGATGACTTTCTGGATACAACAAATAGTAAATAGAGATGTATAGATCTTGCATGTGGAAACAGTGGAGCCACCTCTTTTGTGTATTGGGTATCACCCTTCTATGGGGCTTGAATATGTTTGTGTTTGGAGTCTCTTTGACGACTCTGTTTCTTAAAACCAGGGATCATATCTTAAAAATATTTTATTTCCTCAGTCTCTGTTAACACCACGTAAGAAATCATGTATGCTCAATAATTGTTCATTGAGTAGAATTGTATTTAGTCTTAAGAAGTTTGATATTCCTATTTTAGCTCTTGCTGTAATATTTGATATGGGGATGTATAAAAACTCATTCATCGCAGATTTTAATATGCTGTTAGTTTTAATAAAAATTACTAGTGTAGCAAAGAACAAAAGAAATAGAAAAATCACTACTTAAGCTTCCAATTAAAGAGCATTAAATGTGGAATAATTAACATGTGTTATTCATGAAAAACCTCTTTTTGGGAGATGAAAATACATCTCAAATTCAACTTATATTATCATTCAGGCAGGTGGTTACTAGAGCACTGAAGGGGAAAAAAGGGCAGTGAAATTAACTAAAGGCTGTCAGAGATGAAAGAATCATGTAAAACATTCCAGGTTTATGAAATTAAAACTTTAAATACCGAGTTTGAATTTGAGTGGGTCATTCTCTTGCCTTTACTTCCCTATGATGCCAGGAAGGCTACGTGCCCAGAACAGTACAGGACAATGTGTGGCATTAATTTGCTTTTCTGGCCACCATAGAAACCTACCAGCTGTCCCTGCAGAACCATTCGGTTCAGACAAAAGAATGTATTTGAAGAAAAAACAGATTTTTCAAAACTGGGAAATTCCATCTACTTTATTGATCCTCCATGTCTACAGAATGGCCAGCCCCTCTCACTTTTCTTTTCCCAAGGTGGAGGGGAGACTGTAAATGTTGGTCCCAGACACAGCTCAGAGCTGGAATAACAGAAACCCTCACCATGCAGCTGTCCAGGCCCCACACTGTCAGAGGCATTAAACATTACTAGGCATTAAATATTACCAGGGAAATATCACTGGTCCAGAACAGCAAACAATTGTATTCGGCAGAACTCTTCCTAGGAAGAGAACTTGGTGAATTGAAAGGCAGGAACTGATGGGGGCAGAGTACGGTCACCAGGCAAGTTCAGACAGTTGTCTGTAAAACACCACACAAGCGGGTGGAGGGTCTTTTGTTTTGTTGAGAATACACAAAATTATGGCTAGGAGGAAATACTTTTCATACCTTTTGGTTCTTTACCTCTTGATAAGCAGCCACTCCTTTAAATAAATGTGGGGGGAACCATGTAAAGAATATTGTATTAGTGTACTCATTTGAAAAGTCACTTAACTTTCATGAATGCCTTAAATGGAGGTATTCTTAGGTCTCCCTTCTCCTGTTTTTTCCTCTAAGGTCTTTGCCAAGGGAGGTTGTAGTATTTCTTGTTTTAGGGGTCCTTAGGCAAAACATAGATTATGCTCTCCTAGTGATGACAGAATGGACACTAGGACCTCTTAAATGCCTTTCCTGAACTCCCACACTGGACTCTTGGAAAAACATGATTTAAATGTTCCTCAATTAAAGGTTGAAATATTGCTTCACCTATGCCAAAAACCCTTCAGACCTTTGTAGTTTTACTACGTTCTGGTGAAGTCATGGGATGCTTTCTTTTAAAAACAAGGTTACATCCAAACTCCGATGGCGTTATCCCTTCATATGAAGACATATCCTGGATGCTATTGAATTAGGCAAATGACATTACTTTCTTGGGTTGAAACTAGAAGACCCATGATGTAGATATAAGCCTGCAATAGTCCATCGAGCTGAGCAGGGAACATCCGTATACTAAGGCTCCTAGGATCTATAACTCAGCGTGTATGATCATAGAAATGTTAAGCCAAGATTTTTGTAGACCATGACCATGCAACATATGCCACTAAAATCTATTTGTCTTTCAAGCACTACCTAAAAGAATTTCTTTCACCCCGAGTCTTATATTTTATGATCAGGAGCCTGTTTTCTTCCCTTTGAAGTTGTTTTTTTCTTCCCTGTTTGCTGTGCTTTAATAATATGAAGGGGCTTCACTCTAGAGATGCACTGAAGCAAAGCAAAGCTTCAAGGAGCCCTGCTGAGAGAATTAAAACATATCACATCAATTCACCCTTCTCTTTCTGCCCGCCCTCTATTAATTCAACAAAGTTATAAAAACAAACAAAGAGAATAATGTGCAAATACACACATACAGGGGATTTGAGTTTTGTTTTGTGTTTTTAGATGTGAAGAACAGAAAACCTCCATAGAGCTGCTAAAGCCTTCTAACCTCATCAAGTCCTCTTCTATGAGTCATTAAGTTGCTGAAGCCCAGAAAATCAAATTTGGTTTAGGGCTGTTTGATAATGTAGTAACACAATAAAATGTGATTCACCAATTAGCTCATGTAATTAGAAAATCAAAAACATGTTCTAAGTGGCTGGTGGACACACATAAATAAAGTATATTGTCATTCTTTGTATTTGCTGATTATAGTTATAATTACATCTCCAGTTGATGTTACTACATTCCAATTCCCCAGGGAAGTGAATTCATAGTTATCTGTGTTTTTAAGTCAGATAAATGAATGAAGCATTCCATTCATCAAGTCATTCATTCACTGTTTTTTTTGTTTGTTTTATCAATTCTTTCTTGCCAGGCTCTCTGGTAGACTATCCCATCCTTGCCTCCATATAACTCTCAATCTGAAAAAACTATGTTTAAATTTTTGTATGGAAGGGAAAGTCAACTGAAATGAGAACTCTACAACAACGACGGTTTTATAGTTAAAAATTAGTCTTTCTTGGAGATTCCTAAATATTACTAATATTACCAACACGTATATGAAAAAAAGAAACTAGTGATTTGAGAATGTTTTTGCTTCGTTTTGCCTGGCTCAAAAGGACTCTGTGATAGATAAGAATGGGAACTGAATATCTGTTGGATTATTTTAAAGCAGCTCTTGATATATGCTGTATGTACAGCTGTTGAAATCTAAAGCCTATGCTCTATGTTACCTGGCTCTATGTAAAACGTATTTCTTTAAGTTCAAATCAATTCAAAGGCTGGTTGGATGGTTAAAAGTATCTCAGTAAGAATTTCGACCATATCCTACTTTGCTCTGTTTTTTATTGCAACTGAAGTACATGGGCATGGTTACATGGTCCAGGGCTTCCTAATAAATATAATGAGAGGATAATAGGGATGAATTGCCTGAGCTTAAGCCAATAAAGAAAGGCTTTCTTATGTGACATGGTCATTCTTAATGATACTTTAGATTAAAAAATGACATTTGGTTGTGCTGCCCTTAAAGCTGATTTTTTAAAGTAGTATATTAGTGTTAATTCATAGACATTTTAAAATACATTAGGAAAAAAATTTCCTTACAACACTGTGACATTGTTGCTGGGCGGCTTATTCTTTTGTCAATTCACAATGCATATTTTGTATTGTTCTCTGTCCCACAAATATTGCAAAATTCTAAGGGATGCAATAAGCTTGATTATTTTTTGGTAGAGTCTCACTCATATATTTTAGAGTAGCTTGGATTATATTTTATTTAAATATAATCACATATCAAAAAAGTGTGGTTTATTCATAGTCAGAATGAAACTTAACTCCCAAATGTTATTTAAGATAACGCTGTCTCCATCTCAGTATGTATTTAATCGTTCTCTCTCTTTTTTTTTGCTATTTACAGGTCAATGGGACAGAAATTGAATATGAGTTTGAAGAAATTACTTTGGAGAGGGTAAGAAAAATCCAATAATCCAAAGCCCCAATCTTGCTTTCCACATTCTGCATCCTAATGGTTTGTCTTGCAAAATTACACAATTGTATATTATACCCTGGAAGTTTCCAACAGGGCTCACAATGAGAATATTAATAAAATTCTTTCAGTGGAAGGCCCGGGGACAAACAGACCAAATAACCAGAATGTTCAGTATATAGAATGCATTGCCAGGCTTTGGAGCAGATGAAAAGATAGAAATGTTCCATGAACTAGTGCAGTATTTTTTCCTATTGTTTTGATATACATCTTAGATACAGTATGAAATTTTTTTATTTATGTGATATTAAGACTGTCTTTATAATTACCATTACCATGCATTTTTAAGTTTAAAAACAAAACAAGTGATGGATTTTAAAAGCACCCCTATTGAGAAAAACACAGTAACCCTGCAGATCTCTGAAAATATGCTGTTAGAGCCTTGGCATGGCTTTGAAAAATTAGGGAAATTCTGTGCAACACAACTCTAGTATGTAAAGATATTTTACAAAACAGTAAGAGAAAGACCAAAGCCACCTACAAAAAATAAAATTAAAAAAAAGACCAAAAGGCATTAACAGGATATCCATCACAAAAGAAAGGGCCAGTAAAATACAGAAACCTGTTCAACCTTACTTATAAACAAAGAAAACAATGATGCTAAATAGTTTTTATTTACCTGATTGGCAAAAAATTTAAAAGGAGAATTAACATTTACTGCCATTGAGTGGGCCTGGAATTTGGTGCAATCAATGTATCAGTTTGGAAGAAGGTATCAAAAGTGTTAAAATGGACATGCTTTTTACCCAGAAATTGTACTTATTGAATTATACAAATATATAAAGAGTGTTCATATTCGTATTTTTTATAATAGTGAAGAATTAAAAAGACAAGTGTTTAATAACACATTATTATATGTCCATATAAATAGAAAATCATATTAAATTATAGTATTTTTAAACATTTAATTATAAGTATAGAGAGGTAAGTAGAATGTATTATTAAATATATTATTAAATTAGCCCTGATAGGTGTGACTCGGTGGTTAGAGTGTCAATTCCTGGTCAAGGACACGTATCTGGTTGCAGATTTTATCCCAGGCCTGGTCAGGGCATGTGTAGGAGGCAACCAATCAATGTGTCTCTCTCTGATATTGATGTTTCTCTCTCGTTCCCCCTCCTACCTTCCCTTCCACTCTCCCTAAAAATTAATGGAAAAAATATTCTCAGGTGAGGATTAATTATATATATTTCATTATAAATTAAAATGAAGTTAAAAAGGATATATATAGTAATAAAAGGGTAATATGCTAATTAGACTGGACATCTTCTGGATGACCTGCTGGACAAAGTCACAGTGGTGGGGCTGAGGCAATTAGGAGGATCAGGCCAGCAGGGGAGAGCAGTTAGGGCAATCAGGCAGGCAGGTAGAGGTGGTTAGGGGCAATCAGGTAGGCAGGCAGGTGAGTGGTTAGGAGCCAGAGGTCCCGGATTGTGAGAGAGATGTCCAACTGCCAGTTTAGGCAGTTTAGGCCTGATCCCACAGGGATCCCAGATTGTGAAAGGGTGCAGGCCTGCCTAGAGACCCTCGCCCCTCATACACGGATTTTGTACACTGGGCCTCTAGTTTATAATATAATCAAAGAAGCACAAACAAAGGTATACATGCAAAATATGCGTTTATAAATATATACATAAAGCCTAGAAGGATACACACCAAAATGTTAAAACTGGTTAAGTTTTATTGAGGATTTTTGGGGTGATTTTTCTGTTTTATCTTTTTATTTATATTTATTTGCTAAAACTTCCGTAACAAATATATATTACATTTATTCTAAAAAACAAAAATGGAAGTTTATTTCTTAAGCTTTAATTCTAGTGTGAATTTATACTCTAAACCTACACTTAAATATATTTTTTTCTTTTGAATTTTCACTTTCCTGAGTCAGGTAATTTATCATTCTGTCTAATTTATATTGAGTGTGAGTGGTTTTAAAAGGAAATTTACATTGAAAGTTAAGTGTTTGCCAGATGAGTATTTTAAAACTTACATTATGAACTCTGATAAAATGTTAATGGCATGCTAAATGGAGAAAATTGAAGCTTATGGAAAATTTGTCTAAATGTGAAGATTACTAAGGTCCTCTCCGGAACTGGCTATATGATTTGTGGGGCACAGTACAAAATGAAAAGTGGTGCTCTGGTTTAAAAAACTGTAAGAATTAAAAGATGGCGACAGGAGAGCATTAAACCAGCATGGGTGAATCTCTCTATGGAGCAGGCCTGTGTCTCTCCCCACCCCTTCTTTCACAAGGGCACATGCCCCTCAGTACTCCCAAACTTCTCCTCCCTCTCATTTCTCAAAGTATTTCTTCTCTCTCTCTCTCTCTCTCTTTCTCTCTCTCTCTCTCTCTCTCTGCCTCTCATCTCTGTCTTTCTCTCTCTCTCCCTCCCTCTCTCCCTCTTCACCCCCCTCTGCCCCTCCCTCTATGGCTCTCTAAATAAATTTTCTCTTACAGTTTGAAAAAAATAATCAATCAATTAATTAATTAATAATCAATAATTATTAATAATAAATTAATAATTATTAATAATCAATCAATAATCAATAATCAATTGATTAATTAATTAATAGCCCTTCTATACATAGGGCCCTCTTTGCAACAATCTCAAACTCATGAGACCAACCCTTCTCTCTCTCCATTCTCCACACATATTAGCATCTCCAATGCCCCGCCATTTAGTCACCCTGGCTTTATAGGTCAAAAAATAATTAGAAGCTAATGTTGGTGTGAGGTACAACATTCAGGAGGAATATGACCATTGTGTGTTCTAGTTTGGGTTCTGACACTTATTTGCTTCATGATCTAGCAGGTCACCTCAGGGCTCTCTCCCTGTCATAGGGATTCTAGTTGTACTCTAAAGCTTATCATTGCCATTCATTGCCCCCCTCTCCCAAAACCTCTATGTTAAGTATCATCTTCTCTGTACAAGGCACCTCCTTTTTGTGTTCGTTGTTTATTCTTATACCTCATTCCAAAACTTCTTCAACCCCACTGGGATCTTGCATCATTGATTCCATCATTTCCCTTGAGTTTTTATCCTTCGTTATGCCCCCCATTTCCTCCCATGTATTCCAATTGTTCTTATCATACTTTCAGCATTTTTTATCCTCCTTATTTTCTTGTGTTCATCCCACAAAACCTCATCTCTGGTTTATCTGCCATGATTAAACCAACACCTTCCTACATGCTCCACGCCAGCACCCGGGCAGCTGAACCTGGCTACAGAAGTGCTTACTCATCTCACTTTAAAATTATAACCATCGATTTCAAATGGACCCTCCAAACATCCTAGCTGTTCTTAAACATTTCTTTAGGAAAATCACTTTCTCATTCTCTAGGACAGCAATTTCAGATCTTATTTGCCCTCATCAGATCTCTACCACCAATTCCCTCATCCTCAGACTCAGCTGTTGACATCTCTTCATTGTCCCAGAGAAAACCCAAGCACTCAAATGAAAACCACCTCACGTTCCTACCACTAGGTCTGCTAGTGTGCTCTCCCTGTTACAAGGAAGGAGTTTTCCCTGCTCATCCCAAGGTCAGCTCTTCACTCATCACCTGAACTCTGTAACTTCTCATCCATTTAGAGACTCTGCCTCTGCAGTTTTCTCCTCTCTCTCCTACAATATCAGTTTCTCTCTCTCTTTTTCCTGGATAAATTTAATACATCATATTAAATATCATATAATATCTCTCATCTTAACACTCACACAGTCCCTGAACCCAAAGTTCCCCTCCTATTACTGCCTTATTATTCTATTTTGCTTTACCAAATAACTAAGAAAATCATCTATTTATTACCTCATTTTCTTATTTTAACCTCTTTCATGTTTTCATCCCCACAACAGTCCTAATACCATCCCTATCAAAGTAACACCAGGTTCCATCTTGCTAAATTCAAGTATCAGTTCTCAGTTCTGACTGATTTCTCAGCAGCATTTGATGCAACAGTCACTGCCTCCTTCCTCAACGGTGTCAATTCCTTGGTTTCTGGAACAAAACACTCCTGTTTATCCACCACCTCATCAGTGCTCTTTTCCTGTGTCCTTGCTGGCTCCAACTCTAAATGCTGGGGCACTCCAGAAACCCAGTGAATAGACTCAGTCTCTTCTCATGCTCCAGGTGATCTCATCCAGACCCACGACTTTAAATTCCAGCTACCAGCTGGTGATTCCTAAATCTGCAGTCATGAGCTCCCCTGCACTCCAAATTTGGACAGCTAACTGTCCGGTTGGCATCTCTGGTATGTTCCCAATAGAATTTATTATTTCCCTGCACTCCCTACCCTCAGGGCCAAAGCTGCTTCTAGCCTAATATTCTTCATTTAAACGAGTTGGTTCTATCATTTTTCTTATTATTCAGGCCAAAAAAATCATCTAGACATCTTGCTTAATTGTGCATTTCCCCTCAGCATCCAGAGCTAGCCCTACTGGTACAAACATAAAAATAGATTTTAAAATCAATCACATCTTGCCACCTGTTCTGCTGAATCCTGGTCCAAACCAATATCATCCCACGCCTGGACCACTTTTCTCCTCAAAGTAGCCAGAGTCATATTTTAGAAAATATAAAACATATCATACCACTTTTATTCTTAAAACTCTCCAAGAGGTGATAATTACATTCATCATCATCATCATGTACAAGGCCTTATACAATATGACCCTACTTCTCTCTCCAACACTATGCCCTCACCACCAACTCTTTGAATATATTTTACTCTTGCCAATCTGCATCATTTCTAAAAAAAAAAAAAAAAAGAGCCAAGCTTTTCCCACCTCTAGGCCTTCCTATATGTTATTCTATCTGCATGAAAAAATATCTCCTCAGATCTTTTCATGAGGTTAGAGACATATGGCCTTCATTTGAAACCTGCCTCTATCACTTACTGGTTGAGTTAATTCAAGCTGAATACTCA